GTTTTGATTATCATGATGTATTAAACATTTAAACCTAATTTTTAATTTTTATTGTTTGAGTTTGCTTGAACGGCGGTTCATGCAGGGGAAGAACATATCAATATTCGCATATTCATTCAAAAACATGAAAATTCTTAATGGAGTACCCTCATTTTTTATTGAATTCCTAAAAAACAATATTTATAATGAATTTTAATAATTTTTTCGGATTTTTTTGAAGCTTTATTCTGACCGATTCACCCGATTCCGATCTGGATCGCCGATTCGCCTATCCGGATCGTCGATTCGCCGATCCGGATCGGTTTTTGGAAAGCCCGATCCGGGTCACCGATCCGGTTTTTAAACCATTGGTCACAACTGATTCCCATCTAGATCAATAATCAAAATTAGAAATTTAAGGATTTTAGAACACTAGTTCACTCAATCAAGTAATAAACTATCTCAATTAGCTCTAAGGATGTTTTGGATGGACCGCTTGTTCTTGAGTAAATACTCTTCCTGAGTATAACAGCTATGGTAAAGCAATTTCTTTATTTTTATTGTCTTTTTTATTTTACCAATTCTTTTTCTTCTTCTTCTTTCTTTCTTTTTTTATTTATTATCGTACCAAGCCACAATTTTAAATAAATGACGCTCCTTACATGTGGATAGTCTAGAGCTGAGAGTTTTCAGCCCAAAGATGGGCCTCACACAATAAGGAGTCATCATAAGGTAATTGCAAGCTTTAACAAGACCATTGATCATTAAAGGCCATAAATTTGGCAGATTATTTTTATTGGAAAAATTGTTTCGTGCGTTTTGGTCCTAAGTTATAAAGCATCCATCTTAAAAATAGATGCAAATAGGTGGTCCATCTAAATACAATTGAAAGTAATGATTGAAATATTTTCTTAATAGAATTATTATTTTTTATTTTAAAAATTTATTTATTTTTCGTATTCATGATCTCCATGTTAGAGATTACACGTCCTTAAAAATTAAGTCCAAAAATCCATCTCAAAAATTGATTTTTAAGAAGTGACTCATTTCTACATGAACTCATAGAAACCGTATCCTTTTTATTGTGAGTCATTTACTTCACTTGGTTATTTTTCCTTCTTTGTTAATAGAAATCGGCTTTTTAGGTCTAATTTCTTGATGAGACAATCATGATCAGGACATCCACATTTTGAGTGTTTTCTTGCTTCTTCTAAAAGACAATATGCCCAAGTGTTTGGGATGTTTATCCACGAAAATATTAATTGTTCCTATGGTTACGTTTTATTGCATAAAGCTTCTACGATGTTTAATGTTCTCCATTCTGATTTTTGGGCGATATATAGTCTTGCTTCTAGATTTGCTATCGCCATTATATTTGTTTTATTGATGATACACATGAATTAATTTCTTTAAAACACCATAATATGAATATATTTTAAGGACTACTTTTTAAATAGTAACCACTCAATATGTTATAAAACTAATTATTCTTCATTTGGATACAAAGGAAGTATTTGAGTATAGTAGTTGGTTTCAATAATGTTACATCTCAAATTTGATTCCTACAACTGATTTACCAAAAAAAAATTTGCGCAGTCATTTTAAACATCCAAAAAGCATTTTCCCCTTGATGTTCCGCCTCCACCTTCTATTCAAAATTCACAAGAAAATGCTTGTTCTCGAGAGAATACATCTCCTCCATGTATTACTTCACTTTTATAGTAATACGATGTTCACACTATAAAATCACTTATGAAAAGACTAAAAAACAAGTGGCCTCAATATCCCCCATAATGAAAAAGATTTAAAAACAAGTGGTACATATCGTACTCCCAATGTCATCTTAACATAATGCGATATGATGTTCGTACTAATTAAATGCTTGTTTTTAAGAAATAAATTGTGGTTTGATGTTTACAATAGCGAACCACATGCATTTAAAAGAAAAGAAAAATTTAAAAGTAGAAATTTCCCATTTTTAATGGTAAAATTATAGAATGTGACCAAGTTCATACTAATTCATGCTATAGAAAATATGATAAGAGTTTCCACTCATCCCATCAAATAGCAGTAAGAATCACAAATGAGTATATAGCCAAGCCCTAGCCTCCTAGGCCATTTGCACCGAGGACAAACATGATCTCTTTGTAAAACATATTGCAACCAGCATGATGTTACAAGAAGGAAAAGCCAATTTGAGCGAGCCAACTACTGCAATGGATTAATGAATCTACCCTCCCACCATCCCCAGGTTCTTTATAGTCCTTCTATTGTGGCCCTTGTCCTCACATTGCTTGCAGTAGTAAGCCCTATTTTTATTTTTATTTTGGGAAAAACAGTGGGGGAGAAGCCCCCTACCCATTTTCATTAATAATAAGAAAGACAATACAACTCACAATGTTACAATCCTACAATAGAGAAATTGTGCCCCAATCATAAGGTAAAGAAAGGGAAATAAAATCCAGTAGTGTAGAGTGCTAAATCGTATCATCAGAGAAGGAAGTAGCCATCTTGAAAAGAGTACCCACCACCATATTGGCCGCATGAAAGATATGGGAAATGGACCATATACAGTCCAAAAGTTTATGTTGGCAGTTGGCTGCTACCGTTTGAAGCATCTGTGGAGGTCTACATCGGCCTCTAATGACATTGACAAGCAAGGTTGAGTTGCTTTCAATCTCCAGTGGG